AGCAAGTCACTCACAATATGACAAACTTGTATCTAGCATCTACAATCTTTAATCTGACCTTTGCTATTATTGATGATGAGACTGGACAATAAATATTTTTCTTTTTCTTGGTGGTAATAAAAATAAAAATAAAAAACAGTCAGAATCCAATAATTCTTAAGGTTAGCTGCTAATTATGCTGCATATACATCAAGCACAAATACATCCACAGAAAATAGAAAGCACAATTTGATACCCAAATACTATAACCTGCCTAATTTTTTGAACTACGAAAATAAGTAGTTATACTTTGGAGGCTCTACCACAAAACAGGGAAAACCCATTAAAAAAGCGACAATACTTCTAACTGCTACATCTATTACATATATCCCCATGTGCATCACAAAATATGAAGTGATATAGCACACAGTCTTTCCAAAAACCTGTGAAATCATAAGCCACTATGGAATGAAGTTGATGAATCATACTGATACTGGTACAGGTAAAGCAAATAACCAATTGAGGCTACAGAATTCTTACCATCAACACTAGCACTTCAACTTTTAAGCTCAGGAGCTACCCCAACTAAATCTATCCAATGCCAAAAAAAAAAAAGTCAAAACCATTAGTTTTGAGTAAAAAATTTGAATGATCGAGATTAGTGATGATGAAAAATGTGTTTTAAAGAAAATTTAGCTTTTTAGTGGCGGAAATTGACCACAATGGCTACCCTTACATTTCGCCAACAGATGCCTCATTCAAGACAACACAAACTCATTGGGAGGGCGAAGACAGACAGGAACCTCATGCTCCTCTGGCCCCACACGATGTTTTGGCACTTTAATCTCAAGAACTGTTCCACTTTTGTCAAAGTATGCTTCTAGCTTGGCATCATCTGGAATTCGGGTGGGAAGAGGAATTTCCCTTTTGAACTCCCCCGGAGGACAGTGCTCAGGTGATGGATCAGTAAGCTTATACGTTCGATCATTTCTGTGGATAAAGGGCCTGCATGCTGTGCTTATAGATGATATCTTCACTACACCATGAGTGAGACAGTTCCACCAATGAACTTTTACTCTTTCAGGATCAGAAAGGGGCAAGGTGACAATGATCAAGTATCCTTCTTCATCCTCATATATTGTTTTTGCAGCCATAACCGGCCCATATACATTCCTCATTACCCCACTAAACTCCTTCATCCAGGGTGGTTCAGTTGGATGGATCTCCGGATCTTGAAGTCGATCGGAATCTAAGATACTAGGCAAGCAACAATCTTCCCCATTTCCATTTAAGCAGAGTTCTTTCCTCTTCTTGTTACAAGCAGATGAGAGATCTATTCCATTGCCATTTACATGGTTAGTTGGCTGAGTTGACAAATTCAAGCCAGCTCCATTAAGCAATTTTTTTGAAGGGGGATGTGGAGTACTCTTCAAAGGTGGAAGAGGTCTCTCAAGCTCAAAATCTGTGTTTGGAAGGTTCCGCCATGAAGAGAACTCCCTTGCTTCAGGTGGAACAGAGAAATTGAGATCCCTACCTGTAAGTTCCATCCATTTTTTCTGCTCTTCTTCGTCAACAACCATAAGATTGGGTGATGAAACAAGTTCAATTCCATGCACACACTGAGGATTAGAAAGGCCCCTGTAGTGTTTCCTTTGCATTCTATGAGACCGCACAAAACCCTTATCAACACTAAATGGAAATGGGCGCTCGCCCTGGCGCGAGTGCCCATTCATATAACTCCTCAACTGCATCTTCCCTAATGCATTCTCAGGCCTCTCCTTAAAAATCCACATATAAATATTTTCCATATCATGCTGAACCAAGAAAACATCGAGCTGGAGATCCGACTTATCAAATCCAGACATGCCATTACTATCCTGAACTATATTGCACTTCAATTTGTCCTTCAAAACAGGCTTGAAGTAGAAACTAAAGAAGAACCAAGCACCCCACACACTGTCCAATCTCTTGGCACATTTCCGCCCACCCTTAGGCATATTAAGAAGTGTATCGGATTCATTAATTTGATATCCAAGGCCAACCTCTAGCATATCAAAAGGGTCATGGTTCCACGATTGTGGCGGTGGAGGACTACGCTCGGCTGATAACGGGAGGTTAATATCGGGTGGCCCAGACAAGATGACCTGCCTATTCATGTCTCGGTCTGACTCTTCATGAGAGGTGGCAATCGAATCCATGGATAAGAATGTTGATGGATGATAATTTTCAATTGTTAAGCTTGTGAGCAAATCTTCTCCCATGTTTTTTTCCTCTTATCCTATTTCCGTACTCGAGTATAAGTATTTACAGACAACCCAAATCAACAAAAGCACCTCAGAAAATTCCCATATAGACAGATCCCCAATTAATAGCCTAATTTCAACCTAGTATAGCTATGCTCTTATCTTTCACTTCAAAATCCAATCAAAGCAAAAAAGGGTATAGAAACCAATTCAACACTGTAAAGGGTAATAAACTTACCAAGATCAATAAATTTCTGTTCCTAAATAGCAGATGGGAGAGAATAATTTGGGAAAGCCTAATAATAATCTGTACAGAAGAGATGGTAGAAAATGACGAAGAAAAAACCTACAAAATCAGAAGCCATGGGAGAGTATCAAACGAAAAAGGATGATCACATGAGGGATCTAGAAGGATTACCTTTTGAATATTTGTTTTAAATCCACAAAACTGAGAAGATCTTCACAAGCAACCGTCTCCAATAATCTACACCTAGAGAAGGGGAGAGAGAAGAGTGGAGAAGAAAGACATTGAGGGTAAAATAAACGGTGACGGAGTCTGTTTGATGGTCATGGATCGTTTGTCTAAGAGTGTAGACGGAGTTTTTGGGGGTTTGTGACCGTAACGGCAACGTCTGATAAGCACTATTCCTTGGGCATTGGTGTGGTGGGGTTGGTGATAACGACGTGGAATCATTTAAAAAAGAGCTATGTTACATAACTCTAAAGCTAATACACATTATTTTTCATATGGGTAACTCTTATCAATTTTCTTTTTATCAAATTAGTGTGATAAAAAAATTCAAATAAAATCTAAAAAATTATAATTTAAATACATATTATTTTGTGAATAAGTGAGTCTCATTAATTTTTTTAATAGGACTCACTCACCCTACACTCATCTACGATGATATACATTTTAGTTTTAATTTTTAAATTTCATTTGAATAATGTAAAATTTTTCTAGTATTATATAGATCTCCAACGTTAACTTCAATTAAATGGTCACTTAAATTTGAATTTTTTACCTAAAAAATTAGGTTAATAATATTTTGTCTCTAAATTATGTATTTTTTTTAATCAATTTAGTTTTTATTATATCAATTTAGTTCCTAAAATATTTAATTTGTGTCATTTTGGTCTATACATAGACGGACCGTTAAATTTTTAACGGAATAATTATGTGTGTTGGACACGTGATACCGTCTAAAAAAATAACACGTAATTACTTTTGTTAAATAACTTGACGGATTTATTAATTAGAGATCAAAGTAACACAAATTGAATATTTTAGTGAGTAAATTAGCAAATTTGATATAATGAATATTAAACTGAAGAAAAATACATGCTTTAAAAATCAAAAATATTATTAATCCTTAAAATTTTAACTTAAGATAAAATACTCTACTAGATAAAACTTTAACTTCTAAGATGTATAGAGCACTTTCATGATTTATTTTCTTCGTAACTATCTTGCATGCATCTTTCCAAGTGGGGTAGGCCAGTTGGCCAGGGCCTCTGCCTTCCATGTGGAGGGGTTCCAAGTCCCTTGGGGCAAAAAAGTGTGGTTGTTTAGTAGAATAAGGTCTTAATTATTTGATCAACTCATATTTAAGTCTCTATAATGGGTCTTTAAGTCTTTAAAAAAATGTAAGTTCTGATTTAAATGGTGTATGAGTTGAGAGATCAGTTTATACACCCAAGTTTTGTCCTTGGTTCTATTCAAAATCACGAGTTTTAGTGACATACACGAACCTCTATTCGTTGAGGACAAGTCATGAGATTTTCCCACATCCAATAGTTTACATCAATTTGAAATATTATGATGAATAATTATATCGAGAAATATTTTTTCAACCTGTCTACCAATGTAAATTTGTTAATTTGTGATTAGTCATTATGTCTTATCCATTCTCATATGCAACAAAAAACAAGAGACCAAAATTATGTACCTTAAAATGATTCACTTGTAAGTGACCTGAGCATTAACTAATGATAAAAAATTATTAATAAATTATTCTTAAGGCAAATGAATAAAATAGGAAAAAATACCACTAAATTGGAGCGTCTTGTCAAGAGTAAATATTTGATGTAACGATGACATAATGTTATTAGTGTCGCGTGATATTACCACCTAATTATATAACAATAAATAAGATTAATGAACTCTACTGTTCCAAAATGGAAAATGTGATTATTGGTAGTCATTAAAATAGTAGAGTCTATTAAGTTCACTTGATATTCTATCACTTTTTTAAAATTTTTTTTTTTTTTATGGGAGGGGAAAGGGGGTTTGAACCCTTGACCTTAAAAAGACAAAATTTTCACAAAACAAAGAGTACCATTAGACCAAATGCTCGTTTATGATATTCTATCACTTAGTTGGTAATATCACGTGATATTGATGATGTGGTGTCACATTTACATTTAATATTTTTTTATAGAGTAGAAGTCTAAATAATACCAAATATAATTTCATTTTATTTTTGCAAAAAGACAAAAAAGTTTAATGTCAAATTTCCAAATAAATCCCAAAAAATGAAGAATTTTTTTTTCATAAAAAGTGTGAGAACATGGAAGGATACAGCGTTATCAAACGGTGACGACTTCCTTTCTTGGAGGAAAAACAGTAAGTTGGATATATTCTTACTCAGTTGGACCTGTTGGCCCTTTCGAATGGGCTAGAGCCGGATTTTGGTGTAAATATTGAATGTAATCCTTATATTATGTTAGTAAAATTGACATGGCGTAATTATTTAATAAAAATAATAAAAAGAGTAAAATGTGATCCACTTTCTATCATTGAAGTGATTATATATGACATGGTCGGGTACTTAAGAGTTTGAGTGAAATCCATTAGTTGATTTGTCTACTTATTAATGAATTGTTATATCATATAATATTGCTGACATGGTATAATAGTTACAACAAATATTTTTTTTTCACATTTTGTTATTGTGATGGATACCGTTTCAAAGTTCTTATATGGGAAAATTTTAGCCACACTCCTTCTACTATATCATATCTTTAAGGACACTCTTTTTATTTTTTGAATCTTTACTGAAGCCTTAACTAGAACATAATTTTATTAAATTTTACATGATATATTTTTCCTCTAGATAGGTATATCTTCAATGAGACCTCCTCAATTTTTACAAATTTTTTTACATATTAAAATTTTGGTCGATTAAAATTCAATTCGAATTGATTAAATTTCATTTTTAATCGGCTCGAATCAAACTTTAATCAATTTGCATTGAATTTTAATCATCCCGAATTTTGATACATAAAAAAATATAAAATTTAATCTACTCAAATTTTAATATGTAAAAAATGAATTCTAATCAACTTGAATCGAATTTTAATTAGTAAAAAATATAAATTTTAATTGACTCAAATTGAATTTTAATCAGCACTAATAGCTCAAGTTGAGCTCAAATTGGCTCAAATTTTAATGCGTAAAAAAAGAAATTTTCCGCTTGTGTCTACCTCTTGTCAACTATGCCCTAGCTGATTAATTGTCTCTACTGTTATTTAAACTCCAAAAATATGCTCGAATTTTAATAAAATTTAATCAGCTCAAATCGAATTTTAATCGATTTAAATTTTAATATATAGAAAAATAAATTTTAATCAACTTATATTTTAATACGTAAAAAATAAATTTTAATCGACTCAAATTTTAATCGAATTTTATGTAAAAAAATTATTTGAGATTTATGTAGTGGTAATTTTAGTATTTTAGATGAATTCTTTTTTTATAGAAATGGTGGTTAAACAGTAAGAATATCAGTGATGTTTAAATATAAACTAGAAAGAATATCAATTATATTTTGAATAATAGAGAGGTGTCTTTAAAGATATAGTAAACTAGAAGGGATATAATTGAAAATTTTCCTTCTTATACTTATATTACAAAAATTGGATGCGAAATAAGAGATATTTTTAAGGCTTTAAATATAGACCTTAAATTTATTTGGTTTTAAGTATATCATCTTGATGAACTTTGATGAGTTTAGCTACACCTTTTGTTTTTTTAATTATTGTTTTACCCTTCACATGATTCTACAGATGTGATTTCTTATCCTCATTTTTAATGTCTGTCTAGTGCAAGTCACTTGAAGCCCGAGCTCCTACGAGCTCAAGAGGATCAGCGCTTTGGTTTTTGAAATTTTAGAACAAATTAATTTTTGAAGCACTCATTTTGATCCAAATTTTTTATGCTTTTCTAGTTGTGTTTTGAATAATCATTTGTAGCATCTTGCGATATCAGGGGAAGAGTTTTAAGCCTAAGGCGAAAGATGATGCCGCTGGAAAGGAGTTTTTATCTTTTTTACGGATTGAGTCATCTTATTCTGTTGGTTGGAGGGGTTTTTGGGTTAAATGGGTTTGTCCTCCTCGTGGAGTTTTGAAGTTAAATTCTGATGGGGCCACAATAGCTAACTCAACGGTGGCTGTGGCAGGTGGGGGAGCAGTTGTGAGGAATGAATGGGGTAAAATAGTCTTGGCTGCATCTTTCTTCTATGGGGAAGGCTCGAATTTGTTTGCGGAGTTTAAAACCTTGTGCGATGGACTACAACTGGTCATGCAATATGGGTTATCTTGTTATGAGTTTGAGATTGAATGTGATTCTTAGATTCTGGTAAAACCAGTTTTGGTACCTGCGATTGCCCTTGGAAGTATATAGGCTTGTTGAGGAAGATTAAAATCTTTTTGGATAGTTTGAAGTTCTGATTGGTTCATTTTTATTCCGGAAGCAAATTCGGTGGTTGATAGACTTGCAGACCAAGCTGTGTTGACCAGGCGTACTGTTGACTACTCTGTAAATTTGAGATTGGTGCTGCTTTGGTGAATGACCAGAAGGGCCTACCTGTGTTGCGCAAGAAGAAGTTTGTGGTGTTTGATGATAAAGGCTAATGGCTGGTATTGGAGTTTTTTTTTTTAAAGTGTTGATTTTTTTTTAAAATTCTTGGAAGGTGGAAGATGGCTATTGTAAGAGGCAAAAAATTAACGATACCTCC